ATTGTGGACTTGCCCTTAGAGTGGAAAGTAAACATTTAGTTTGTTACGATCCTTATTTTGTTTCGATCTATTATCGCAATTATTTCTTCATTAAAAAGATTAATGTATTACTAAACAACTTTTCCATCATTCACAATATCTACAAGTATTGTAATTATATCTGATTTAAGAGTATCGATTTGTCTCATCGATCGCAGTATAAGGAAATGTAAAATAAAGATTTATATCTTATAAAAAAGAGACACAATCAAGCATTTGCGCTTGGATTACTCCTAAATTCACAAAAACGCATGGAAGTACTATTGTGTCAGGTATATAGGATGTTTCTTCGCATGTGAGTATAAAGAATGTGGTAAGCGGGATGTATTCCTAATTCGTCAAATATCATGACATAGAGTCCGACCGAAATTTTGGTTTCGGTTTCGGTCAGTTTCGGACAAAAATCAAGGTTTCGGTTTAATTTCGATTTTGGCTGGAATTAAGAGAAAATTTCAGTGGGTAAATCGAAACTGTACAAGTTACAACACGATGAGCGTTCGAAAAACAACTATTTGATTTTAATTATTAACTCGATTAAGCTTAAGACAAGCTTTGATATGACCCTAATAATAACTGATTTGATTTCTTTAAAAGAGAATACAATATTATTATATTATCATAGTTAGATATTTTAATAAAATCTTGTTTTTTAAAGAGTACATAAATTTGTCACGATTTCTGAAAATCATAGTCTCTATAAAATTAATTAAAAAAATGTCGATTTCGACTTCGGCTGAAAATAAAGTGACTCCGTTAGCTTCTCTCTCTCACTTTTTTTTTAATAAAACTTATTTATAAGTTTCGGTTTTAGTTTCGTTTTTGGCCGAAATTGAATGACAACCAAATATTCGTTTTCGCTTTCGGCCGGAAGTAAAAATGTGACTTCGGTCGGACTCATGATATTACATACTCTATGTATAGATTCAATCGTAAAATGTTATTTGGTATTCTCACAAACAGTATTATCAAATATTTAGTAAATAATTAAATTGATAAACATGAAAAAACGAAATAACAAGAAGACATGATTTACGTGTTCATTGCGTTACAAAAGACGAATCTTAAGAAGGTGCAATATGCGCCTATTTTGTGCACACATTAGGTAGTCTTTTGCGAATTTATATGAGACAAAAGTTTCTCTTAATTAAAAGTTCCTATTCTACACATCGTATGTTTCTTCATATTGGAAGCATAAGTCGGAATTTTTTCTTTTTCCTTTATATACCTATTTATTTTGTTTGCGCAATCTTTTAATTAAATATTAAACTAGACCTTAGATGAGATATGCAAAAGCTCGGTTAGTCTCATCGCTATACGTTAATGGGTTTCATTTTGTTTTTTGATAAAAGATGAAAATTCGATTCTCAAAAGCATAATTATACGAATGAATTTAAAATTATTCACTATGATCTTTTCTCCTATAATTTTTACTTTCTCACAATTTCTGTCTTGCCAAATTTCTTTCATAATTTTTGTTTATTAAAAGCGTCGGGAAGGTCTGTTCAATATTTCGGAGAGATGCATAATGCGCGTATTTTCTGATTCGCAAAAAATATATAACAACTCGGCTAGAAGACAATTTCATCAACCTATTATTATATCAAATAAAGAAATAGTATTCATCTAGTTTTGGTTTGTTGTTGCTGTTGTTGCGCTTTAAACTGCTTATAGACTTTCTTACTCGGAAGCAACAATTGGCACAGGCCGGGCCTTTTCTTACGCTTTCTGTTCGCTGTCTGATTGTTCTCCTGATCTACCTCATTCTCGTCGTCGTTTGCGGGCGGCAGTACCTGCTGTTGCTGTTGTTGTTGTTGCTGCTGCTGCTGCTGTCCGTTATACCGAGTTTGACAGACCAGCGTTTCCTGTGGCGTTCGTAGGGCCTCCAATTCAGCCGCGCTACGATGCAGATCCGAGTCGTGAGCGAAAGTACAATTGTGACCGAAACGGCAACGACCCTTCCGATAGTTCCAGCAAATCTTGCGACCGTTTATCATCTTCGTGTCGTCTAATGTAGGCGTCATCTTTACATGCTTCTCCAGAATTGCGCTCTTTGCTCGCTCCGCTTCAACAAATGGATTCAGGAATACTGAAGTCCTCAGTAACGTGGACGCGCTGTTGAAATCTGGCGTGGGTAATGGAAGCTTTTCTTTGGAAGCTGTTGTTTCAGTTATTCTTACGTGTCCACCATTATCCCTGTTGTTCTCCTCTTTGTTATTCTCTTCTTCTTCGTCCTCTCCATCTGATTCCATCTTCTCCACTCCCTTAAAGCTAACGGTGAGGCAATATCAGATTACAAAGAACAAGCCGCATTCTGTATGTATATACCGGTTGCCGAACTCAAATAAATGCTTGGCAAAATATCCTTTTTTTCATTGTAATATTGACAATATAATATTAAGAAGTATATTCTTTAATCTTTAAGCCTGATCTACTATGTACTTCCTGTTTCTTGCTTTTATCACTTTTTACATCTTGCCTTTTTATTTTTTATCCAGTTTCTTTGTTCTTTGTGATTCAAGAGAAAAAATTTAATAAACTTCAGAAGAGGCAAGAAACGCCAGTGTCAATAAAACAGTTGCAAAAAAGTTTTAATAGGTATTCCCAGCATATCTATTAAACATAATATATATATAAATATATACAAGATAATACAGTGTGACACATTGAATAATTACAGCTTATTTCTATCAATGTAGATTAACTTTAACTTTTCTCTCGAGTTAAACTCTTTACTCTATCTTTCTCTAATGGCAAATTCAATTAGAAGCACTAATGCGCATTGGTGTATATTATAAACCATTATATACTGATTTAATTTAAATATAAAAATAAAATACAAATATTTCGAATTATGAAATACATATTTTACCTAATAGTACAGTAAAATATATTAGGTATTTTAAGATTTAATTAATATAAATGTTTATTTACATATAAACATATCTTTACGTTATTTTATGTATGATGGCTTTAATATGCACCAGTGCGCACTGAGTGCGTCTAATTCGCTATAATTAATTCTTATTCTAGAACTAGAAGAAGGTAAAAAGTAGGTAGACAAAAATTAAAGTTATTCTACATTGATAGAAGTAAATATACATCCATATTGTTTATCAATATTAAATAAAAATAAAATGATCACTTTGCTATTATAGGTCTGTTTTCTACAGCTAAAGTAGTATACATTTTTTGAACTCAAAGTGAAATAAGTATATACTTGATATTTGATGGACATGAGAAATAAATAAAAACTAGATAACTGCATCTCTTGATGGAAAGTACCCAATATGTTAAGTTTCGCGTTTGCAGGATCTGTCAAACTCAATTCTCATTTTGTAATGTGACAGATTCTGCCAGCCCCACGTTAGGCAGAAATGTTTGTCAGCATTGTGCACTTCGCGAAAGATTAAACTGGAGCGGAATCGCGCCAATGAGTGTAGAAAAAAAAGAAAAGAAAAGAAAGTAGGGCAGATCGGCGATCGGAAGACTTTTACGCAACGTCCCAAACTTACGCATTATCCGAAACGTCATCATCTGTCTCGCCGTCCGAACCGGAAGAAGTCCCGTAATCCGCAACCAAGGAAGCCATAATAACAAATATAAGTCAGTCGATTCCTACAAACTAGACAATCCTAACAGTACGATCTAATTAATCTAATCATCGCGCGAGGCCAGATGCCGACCAAGAGGAGGGGAGGGGACCAAAAAAATCTTTGTCGGCGAATTCCTGACAGCGCTGGTAGCGCCATCTAACGGCGCGCTTCCCAACTGGAAACAAAAAGAGAGTCAGCCATTTTATTGAAAGTATCACGTGCGCTAATCTAATTGCTAATTAATTTAATAGCGAAAATGTTTATTGTAAAATTCCTACATTATATAACTCATTATATAACTCTGTAATATAAATTTTTTTTATGTTAAACGGTAAAAATCGATTATTTTAACAATTTTAGCTGTGATCAAAGTCTCGCGCCAAATGCTTTGATTGACCAATCAGAAGAAAAAATTTTACAAATTAATCAATCAAAAAACGCTTTAAACCAATCATAGTCGTTTTCTTCATTCGATTGTGATTAGTCAATTCTTACAGATTAAGGCATAAGTTGATAAATTATAAACGATTTACATTTACATGGCTCGATTCAGGACAAAGTTAACACTGACACAGACGAGATACTATTAAAGATTGTCAATCCTGGACAAATTTTCGGCGGTATAAAAAGGGCTCAAGGGCTCGAAGGTAATTGAAGAATGCTGACATTATCAACAATTGATATAAATTTGTTATTATTAACATAAATATTTGGCTTATACATTATTAAATTAATGATTTTTTATTACATAAATGTTCCAACGTACATATGCACTTGTAAAGCTATAATATCCTATATATTGCAAAAAAATTACAATTTTTTCTCTGCAGTTATCATCTTTGTTGATAATCAAACTTTAACGATAACACTGAAATTACGATTTTAAAGAAAAATCGAGCTTATTGAGTTCTAAATGCATAAATACGTCTACTAAACTAATAAATCATAAAATTAGTACAATATTACCAGTTTTTAACTCTTAATTACTTCAATATTCACAAGGACTTTCGTAAGGATGTCGGTCTTTAATAGTATCTGGTCGATGACATTGATGTTATAAAATTGACCAATTACATCATTTCATTCTTCAGAGGAATAGCTATGGCCGGTATTCATAATCAGATCTTATATTCAAGAACGTCTTAAGTACGATATTAAGAAGTCACGAACCAGAGGGCTGCATTAGCGTCTTAAGACATTATTTAAGATGGTCTTGAAATAAGAATCGACTATAAATACCGACCTATGATTGACCAGTTTCATAACATCGATATTAAACTTCGATAGATCCCGATTGGTCGAGATTCGAATTTGTCCAACTCGATTTTCGCGTCCCTCCCGACAGAGAGCAGGTCGATTCGGCGTTCTAAAAACTGACGCGGGCATTCCATTCATTATCTCTCACTTCACTCCGTCTCCCTTGGCTGTGGATCAATCTCGCCGAAGTCCTCTGATATAAGTGCGATTGTGATTAATTTCTGGTCTATTCTCGATCTTCCCTTCTATCGTTGACACGAGTGCATAAAACGCGACTATAAACAATGGCTGATCAGCAAGAGAACAAGGACTTCAGTGACGACGTAGCGGAGCAAAATTTCGAGAAGAACGGCGAGGCTGAAAGTGGTACCGGCGGTGGCGGCGGGGACGCCGTGGAGAATGGCCAGGATTCGCAGGAGGACAGGTAAGACTTTTTCTATATTCCTTTATCAATCTATTGAGAACTCCGGTAAGATCCGGCCGTGTGATCAAGCATAATTCGCGGCGTCCGGCGTCCTTCGGTAATCTCGGTAACGGTAAACTGATTTCGATCGGCGTTTGCGTCCCGCCGAGGCGGTTTCCCGCGAATTCGGTCGGCGTCTCTTGCCGCGGGTCTCCGCTTCCGACACAACACGGACAAAATGGCGATGGACCGACTTGAAACAAAATGTAATCCACGCGCATCGGTCGTTCTTCGCTCGCCGATCGCTCGCTCGCGCGATCATTCCGCGTCGCTTCACCGCGACGCATTTGCCGGTACGTTTCTTTTTGCTCCCCGGCGTCCCCCACGAATATGGCGGAGTTACTGTTGTAGTTGAGTTACGTTATTGTTGTAACTTGGACGCGTCTTTTTTTTCTCTCTTTCTCGCGCCGCGCCGATCCGATAGCAAAAAAGACTCCTTTACGTCGCATGTTTCGCACGTTGTTTCCACGCTCACATTTGATTTTTTTTTTTTTTTGCCGCTTTATTTCTTCCCTTCCTTCTCCTCTTTCCCTCCTTTTCATTACCGTGATAACGTCATTCAATGCTCCCCTTCAATGCTCGCGTCGTTTGAAACACAGAGAGTACGCGGGACAGATCTAACGTCACTTTGCAGCTCGGTACCCTATTTATCAAAGGAATTGTTTACAAATTAGATATTTTTGTATACAGAAATATTTGAAAAAAAATGTGAATTTTTATATAATTGAACAATTTTATTGCGTCCTACCGATACCTTATGCACTCGTAGTAAATCTGTTTGAAATATATTGCTTAGTCAAATAAAGATAAGGTAAATATGTCATTTATATTCATTACTATACTGTGATTACAATTTTACACATGTGTTATTTATTATGAGGTATGTGTCCGTTGTTTTATTTTTCAAGCTTCCTAACTTTTTTTGTAAATTTTTTCTTTCTGTTCTCACTTAGCCAATTTAAACTTTCTTCTAGTCCTATAATTAATGGAGGGCAGTCACAATTTCATCATTGATAAAGTTTGTATGTGTATGTAGATCTACTTTTAATATATTTCCTAAGAAATGACATTTGTATTTGTATTTCTATTTTTTTTTTATAGAATATAATTTTGAAAATCCACGTTTGAACAAGTTACGAGTCATCCTTTCCTTATTCACAGTACAGTTTATGGTCAAATTCAGATTAGTCAATTGCTCAAAAACGATTGACAAATCCGTCCAATGCTTGTGTGGGATCTCTCTGAATTGAACTGTGAGGCTTCGTGAATGAGCTTTGGGGTCGGAATTATTGTGAACAGTCGAGCATCGAGTTCTCAAGTTCATCATATTACGTCACGACACGAAAGTACCTGGAGTCAAATCGAGTTAAATGTTACTTGAGATCAAATACGTGTGTCGCAGCGACACATACTTGCCTGCTGGATAATACAGAGTAGAGTAATTTCCGCTGATTCGAGTGATATTTGGATTATTTGGGCATGAGCAAATGCACAGAGACACTAGGATCAATGCAAACATCTCCAATAGGCTCCGGAACGCCATTAACGCAGTTTCTGTGACTTGGTCTGCAGGTGGCTAAAACGTCCCAGTGCGATTATGGCGGGCTGCTTGCAACTGGCTAACTGTGACCTGACCTGACAACAGATACCGGCGAGAGACTGGTACCCATGGTATTTATCATCAGCAATAGATGATATGAAAACGACATAATGTATATATATATATATATCTCAATAAACATATATAAGTACAGACTTAACATCGCTGGGAAAAAAGTTAAGGAAAAGATAAAAACAGCAAAATGTGTACATATTGCAGCTTGTTATTTGAATGTGAAAAAAAAATATGAAAAATGTATCTCGAGACTCAAGACAAGTCGTTTGTAATGTAAGCCTTCTTGACGAATTGTAAGATAAAATATCCTTATATGTACAAGTGTCTGATGTAATCCATAATAATATTGTTTAAAAAGAACTCCAATAAAAAAAAGTAACAAAGAATAAGAAATAAGAACTTAAAGCAAAATCGTGCAGTGACTAATGTTAATCTGTTGTAATGTGGAAATTAATTTTTAGCTTTCCAATATAGAGTTGCAGTCGATCTACCACATGCCACTAATTTGGGTCAATTAATAATCGGGATTTAATTGTAACTTTAGAGAAGTTATTTGTATTTTCTTTAGGGGCAGCAGTATCTCAACTGGAGTTGTAGCTTATTTGGATCATCATAACAGTACTTTACTTTTTTTGATGCGTTTTTTTCTACTACACTCACACATATACACATATAACATATTTATGCATATGTACTTTTTTTCTAAAACTTTTCCTTTAATACTTTTCACTTGTTCACTTGTTATATAAAACTTGTTATATATGGTGTTCAAATCGAGTTGACCTGTGTGGTGCGCAAAGCCGCCGACTCTCCGTAACTTCAATTTTACTACGCTATCGCGTAGCAACTGCATATATTGTACAATAACATACATTTATCTTGATAAAAGTTCATTTGTTCTAGGAATATGGTATCTTGTAACTTTTACCTCTTATTATCAGTATAACGAATCTTGTTTAGTCTCACATGCAAGGAACGTTTATTTTTCCAAATCTACATGTAGGACAACACCTACATTGTGTATTGCTGCAATTGGAATTCCTATTCCCTATTAGAAATAGCTATTATCGTACTTGTTAAATACAACAAAATTTTTTGCAGTGCCTTTTCCAGATAGCATCATGGATCATCCATCAATTGCATTCTCTATTAAATTGTAGTACAATTTTAATTTGCACAGGAATGAAATTAAATTAACATTAAATTCATTAGAAGCAATTAGTTTAATATCTATTAAAAAATCTCTGTTCTTTTTTTGGTAAAATAAATTAGTTCCATTGCTTTGCAGGTTGACCGGAAGTAATCAGGATGATTGATACAGGCACATTCAATTCCTATTTCTCTCTTTCGTTTACTTTTTAATATTATGTGCCTATATAAATTCAATTAAAATAATATTACTACAATTATTATAACACCGCGATATAGCGGTTGGAAAGTTAGGGCGGCAAACATATTATTCTCTATTACATTTGCTTAAAATTTTTATTTCTGTTTATTGTTTACAGAAAATTATTTGTCGGTGGCTTGAGCTGGGAAACTACTGACAGTGAGTATTCTTATATTTAATAATTTCCAATCATCGATAGATTGCATTTTATCCGGAAATTCGTCACGAATATCTTTAATCTATTTCAGAGGAATTAAGAGAACATTTTAGCACTTATGGTGACATTGAGAGTATTAATGTTAAAACAGATCCTAACACAGGAAGATCGAGAGGTTTTGCCTTTATTGTCTTTGCAAAGGCCGAAGCTCTCGATAAGGTAATTAAAAAAATT